AATGAACACTATTCTAGTGATGGATACCCTAAAAGTCCTGACTTAAGCATTATACAAGGTATCCATGTAACAAAAACATTTGTACCCCCATAATACATATTTTTTTGAGACAGAGTTTTGCTCTGTCACCCTGACTAGACTGCAGTGGTGTCCTCATAGCTCACTGCAACCTCCAACTCCTGGACTCAAGGGATCCTCCTGCCTCAGCCTCCCAAGTAGCTGGGACTACAGGCCTGCATCACCACGCGCAGCTAATTTTTCTGTTTTTAGTAGAGATGGGGTCTTGCTCTTGCTCAGGCTGGTCTAGAACTCCTGGCCTCAAGCAATCCTCCTGCCTTGGATTACCAGAGTGCTAGGATTACAGGCATAAGCCACTGTGCCCAGCCCTTAATATTTTGAAAAAAAGAGAAAGTATTAACAAGAAAAAAAATACACAAAAAAGATGCAGAAAACATTTCAACAGATACTTCACAAAAGAGAACATACATACGGCAAATGAGCACATGAAAAGATGCTCAACATCACTAGTCATTAGGGAAATGGAATTAAAACCACAATGATGTATCACTAACCAACCACACAGAGTAGCTAAAATTTAAAAGATTGATTATATTAAGTACTGGCAAGAATATACAGCAACTAGAACCCTCATACATTGTTAGCAGGAATGTAAAATAGTACAACCACTTTGGAAAATAGTTTGGCAGTTGCTTGAAAGTTAAAACGCATACCTACCATACGAGAAAACCGTCTATTCCTTGCTATCTACCCAAAAGAAATAAAAAGCATATATCCACAAAAAGATTTGTATATAAATGTTCAGTATCATATTTGTAGTAGCCCCAAACTACAAACAACCCAAATGCCCATCAATAGGTGAGTGTATAAACAAATTATGGTATAGCCACGCAATGAATGCGATGCCATTCAGCAATAAAAAGAAATTATGATATATGCAACCATATGGATGAATCTCACAATAATTGTGAATAAAAGCCAGAAAAATTACACTGTATGATTCCATTTTTATAAAATTCTAGAAAATGAAAACAGATATATATAGTGACAGAAAGAAGATTAATGGTTGCCTGGAACCTCTCAATGGTTCAACCATTGCCAAGAATGGGGAGTAGAGGGGTAGGCCAATGAGGGGAGGGAGGGATTACAAAGGGATACAAAGAAAGTTTTGGCGATGATAGATATTGTCAGTATCTTGGTTGTGGTGATGATTTCATGGGCCCATACATGTGTCTAAATTCATTAGCCTGTATACTTTAAATATGTATAATTTATTATATGT